ACAGATCAGAGACTGTGGCAATCCAAGAATCCAGCAGAGCTGTTCCAGCACATGACCGGAGCAACAACAACAACAACAATCTGCAACTGAACACATCAGAGAGGGTAAGAGGAACGTCTGACTACCTGCACCGCGCCTCTCCTGCGGAGCTCAGGGGCAAGAGGACCTTTCTCGGCCTGTGATGTCTCCTGTGGGGGAAGGTGAGAGCGTGAGAGGAAGTGCCTGGATTCTCCAGCTGTGTGAACACCGCCAAGGAGGCCTGTTTGCCTCTCTTGCCTCTGTCTTGCCCCACCCAGGGTTCTAAGTCAGGAGCCGCACACATGGACAAACCTTTGGCTGACTAAGGAAAAAAAGAGAAGACTCAAATAAAATCAGAAATGAAATCAGGAGATATTATAATTAATTAGCCACAGAAATACAAAAGATCATAAGAGATAATAGTGAATAATTATATGCCAACAAGTTTGATAAGCTAGAAGAAATGAGTCAATTTCTAGAAATTTACAACCTATACCCAGACTGAATAATGAAGAAGTAGAAAATATGAACAGACCAATAAAGAGTAAGGAGACTGAATCAGTAATCAAAAACTCCCAAACAAAGAAAAGTTTAGGACAAGGTGATTTCACTAGTGAACTCTACAAAATGTTTAAAGAAGAATTAACAGTACTCAAAGTCTTTCAAAAAACTGAACAAGAGGGAACATTTCCAGGTTCATTTTACAAGGCCAGTAATACTCTGGCCAGACAAGGACACCATGATTTAAGAAAATTACAGGCCAATATCCCTGATGAATATAGATGCAAAATTTTCAATAAGAGAAACCCAATGAGATATTAGCAACCCTAATACAAAACCAAATTAAAAAGATCATATAGGAATTTCCCTGGCAGCTCAATGGTTAAGACTCTAGGCTTTCACTGCCATGGGCCTGGGTTCAGTCCTTGGTCAGGGAATCTAAGATACTTCAAGGAATGCAACATGGCCATGAAAAAAAAAAAAAAGTCTGGCCTCTTACCAAATACTGGATAACTGCTTTGCAGATACAAAAGGAATCCCAGTGGAGAAGAAAATAAATACTGAGAGAATATTGCAAGACAATTTTTTTTTTCAGTTTTTTAAAACTTTCTTTCCTAAATTGGTGTCCACTTATATCCCCATTCAGTGTATTGCCTCAAGCCCCAAAATGTTGAAAACTACCACTGAATTAAATAACTTGGCAGATGGAAAGATTAAACTTTGGCTCTTAGCTGATTTGGGGGCTCTACTGTGCCCTTATTGCACTCTTGAAGTTTCCTTTTGGCTGCCTGCCAATCAGTCTCAAAACCCTGCATCCAGGGCAGTCTGGAGTAAGACAGACTGGGTCTGATCTGGAATGCTGAGTCAAAAGTTGTACAGATAAGCAGCTCGGCTGCCTTGCAAACATGTGAGCCACTAGATGGCGCTCCATGCTCATACGGAACCTGCCAGAATGCCACATCCCCAGAGTCTGACAGGCTTCCAGGGCTGACTTATCCTTTGGGCACCAGAGGCCCAGTGCCTAAGGTGCAGCATACCTTTAGAAACCCATGAGAGTATTTTACTTCCTTCCAAAATCAGGAGAGAAAGGGAATATAATATTAATACTACTTTATTATATTCCTCTCTATACAATTCATTCAGATGCTTTCATATATATATACTTATATATAAATTTATATTTTTATTATTATTTTTAATAGAGAAAGGGGCTCACTGAAGGCAAGGTGTCTAAAGACCATGAAAGTCATAATACAGCTCTGACTTCCCTTACATCACATCTGGAGCGTGGATCAAAAATGTCACTGAAATGGATTGTAGTTCCAGGGCGTACCTCTATGTGAGGACATCTTTCAAGAGGCATGCATTCATGCATTTATTTAACTCAACAGATTCATTCTTACTCACACATCTTCTTGCTTTTACCTCTTAAATCCCTCCCCAGTCTGTCGTCTTCCCTGCACACCTATGCTGCCATCTGAGTGTGGGCCACTGATACCTTCTCTTGGACTCTGACAACAGTCTCTTACTGGCTTCTTTGCCTCCGTGCCCTTCTTTAAGCACCCAGGGTCACTTGCTGTAAATCAAACCTGATCAGGTTAAGTTTTTTTGCTTTCATCTAAAGCCTGCCATGATTCTCCACTGCCAAGAGAAGTGATCTCTCAAATGGGGTGTATATACTTGAGGAAGCAGACAAAATAAACCACTGGAGAATAGAAAGAAAATAGAACTTCTATTTATATTTGCCTTTTATCTGTTTCTTTAAACATTTCTGTTTTTTTGTATGCTTTATTTCCTTACATAGTACATGTGCATTATTTATACATAAATATACATGTATTTGGAAGGGTGTCAGTTTTCACCTGTTTTTCACCAGAAGGATGCATCACCAAAAGTGTTTGGAAACTTTCGAAATGACAGCCAAGTCTTTTAGAATCATACATAGGGCCTTTACAATATGAATCAAACCTACCTTTAGGAGCGTCCCTGCTTGTTCCAACCACACAGAACACCTCTTAAGGGCCCAAAGCTGTTGAACTTTCAAGCATTTACAAATATTTCAGGCACAGGCTGCAGCTCCCTGAACAGGACCCTCACTTAACTCGCCTCCCCCACGCCAGGCTCCCATCCTCTGCAGCCTCTCCTGGCTTTTCTAGCAGTCCTTCTCTCCCACAGCTGCCTTAGCTATAGCATATTTATTTGTTTACATTTTTTCTTTTCCCTTTATCCTGTGATGAGGTGTGTGGGTGCGGGTGTCTGGCTGTGTGGGCATATACCCGAAGAAGGGCTGTATCGATAAAGCAGCTAGCAGATGCTGGGCACTGTGCTTGAAAACTGAAAGTGAAGTTGCTCAGTCGTATCCGACTCTTTGTGACCCCATGGACTTTAGCCTACCAGGTTCCACCGTCCATGGGATTTTCCAGGCAAGAATACTGGAGTGGGTTGCCATTTCCTTCTCCAGGAGATTTTCCCGACCCAGAGACTGAACCCAGGTCTCCCGCATTGTAGGCAGACACTTTACCGTCTGAGCCAGCAGGGAAGTCCCTGGGTTAGGCCCTATCTATGTGTCATTTCAATTCATCTCTCACAGAGGTGACCAACACCTACCAGTTTGTCTGGAACCTTCCAGGTTTTAGTTCCAAGAGTCCTGTGTCCTAAGAAACTCTTCAGTCTCAGACAAATCAGATGGTTGGTCACCCTGTGCAATAACCCCATTACACTAGTAAGCAGACTAGAGCTCAGAGAAGTCATTAAAACTTAGCTGAGTTCTCACAGCTATTAGCACTGGGACCTGGCTGTGTCCCTCAGAAAATCAGCAGTCTTTCCACTATGCCTGTTCATCAGTGGGGACCATGTCTTCGTCGACTTTGCATCTTCATGTCTGTCATGATCTCTCTATATATTAAATAGTTGATGAACAAATGAATGAATGAATGAATTCTCCAACAGAGAATCAAAACAGCTGTTACATGGTGACATAGTGAACTAACCAAGCCCTCCTCCCTCCCTGTGATTCTACATCATCTCAGAATGTAAGAGAACTGGTCTCAGTGAGGATAAATGACTTGCCCAAGGCCACAGTTCCAACAGAAGCCACCATGAAGAGTGGGAGCCCGCCCGAGCTCCCGCAACTAGGGAGAAAGACCATGAGCAGCAAGTAAGATCCAGCGCAGTCAAGGTAAGTAAATAATTTTTTTAAAAAAGATTAAACGGTAAATGAAAAGAGTGCTTCCAAAAGAATGTATCTATGAAACAGAAATAGACCCAGACATAGAGAACAGACTTGTGGTGGCCAAGGGGTGGTGGGTGGGGAAGGGATGGACTGGGAGTTTGGGATTAGCAGATGCAAACCATTACATACAGAATGGGTAAACAACAGGTCCGACTGTAGAGCATAAGGAACTATATTCAATATCCTGTAATAAACCATAATGGAAAAGAATATGAGAAAAAATGTGTATATGTTTGTGTGTGTGTGTGTGTGTGTATAAAAAACTGAAAATCACATCGTTGTACAGCAGAAATTAACACAAGAGTGTAAATCAACTCTACTTCAGTAAAATAAACTTAAAAATAAACCAAAAAAAGTGTGCCCCCATGGGGAGGGCTGAGTACCAGAATACGAAACATACAAACTGCCATATTTATCACGCAGAAGTTGTTTGTGATCCAGTCAATCCTCCCCACTCCGACCCCAAAACAGTCAAGCCTTGGATCCAAAACAACCTGGCATCTCCAACACGGGACTGTTTGGAGACCCAGAGGCCAGGCACTGCCAGCCAGAGAAGCAATGTGCCATGCCCCGCCCTGCACTGCTCTGAAATGCTTGTTTATCTCCATCTGTGTGGTGTCTTCTGGCTTCCAGGCTGAGTCTGTGGTTTGTCCCCTGCCTTTACTGACCTCTTTGATTCTGCAGGGTAAGCTCAGCCCTGGGCCAAGGGGAGTTTCAATGCACAATGTGAAACATGGGTTCCACGAGGGCCGCTGGCTGTTCCCCACATCTTGACTCTCCAGAGAATTTGCGGCCGCAACTCCATTGGTGCCGAAGAACAAAAGGAGCCCAGCAGTGACCACTGCGGTGACAGCACATGACAGGGGACCTGTCCTTTTCCATCTGAATCTGCCCTCAAGGCTCTTTCATGGGAAAGAAGAGGAAGGAAGGAAACGGAGCTTTATTCCTTCATTCCATCCCTCTCCACCCCAATTTGGGGCGGCAGGCTAGTCACACTTGGGAATATTCCAGCAGCTTATACATGGCTGGGGCAACAAGGGTGCCCAGCCACTGTGAGAGTCAGGGAAACTCTTAGCCCTCGTGGGATCTGGGAGTGGCCAAAGTTTAGCCCTGGCAGGACTGCTGGGGAGACGAGGTGGGGTGGAGCAGAGGACAAGGGTTCCCTGCTCCCCTTAGTGAGAGGGTCGTTTCTGAGCAGGCCTCAGCTAATGCCTCCTGAGGTCTCCTCTGAACTGCGGACGGTGTTCAGGGCCTGGAGGAAGAACGTGACCGTGGTGGCCCTGGGGCCTCTGGACCGCTGGCGCAGACCTCAGGTGTGGCCTACCTGGTACCAGTTCTGGGAAAGGGAACTTGGATTCACCCCAGCTACAAGCATTCAGGAATGTGCTGGAATCGCGTCCAGCTCCTCGGACATCACAACACTGGTAAGGGGCTGAAAGCGGCCTCTCTGGCCCACCCCAGCCCCCGGAGCTCTTCAGCCACCTCCCGTCACCCGCGGGGACTTGGAGCGCGCAGCGCTGGCCCCGCGAGGCTGCGAATCCCGCCGACGCTGCAGCATCGCTGGGCCGTGAACTGTGCCCTTCACCTGCGCCTGAGACACCTACCTGAGGGCTAAACCTGGGCTGGCGGGGACAGCCAGTGAGGAGGAAATCCACGCAGGCCGGAGGGCCCGGGCCAGCCTCTCCTGCGGTGTTGAGGCTGGAGCGTTCCTTAGAGGGGCAGCGAGCAGCCGCCAGTAGCGGCCTCACCCCCGGCAGGTGCGCGCGTGCGGGGCGGATCGTGCGTCTCGTTCACGTTCACGGCCGTAGCCCCGCGAGAGCACAGCACCCCCTAGTGCCGGAGTGCCCGCTGGGTAATGGGGATGGTAGAATAGCTAGCCCTCTGGCTTGCGGGATTGCCTGAAAGGTTGAGCTTGGCTGAAGTGACGCGAACGTGTGTCTCTTGGGGCGTGCGGTGGGGTGAGGAGCGGTACCCAGGGGACAGGCTGGGGAACCAAGCAGGGCTCAGATCAGGAGGAGTCCCTTCTTTGGGACTTTTCACTTGAAGGTCAATAACAGGGCGTGCGGAGGAACTTGCCTGTTCCATTCCAGCCTGGCTCTCACCCTCATCCCCTTGAAAGAAAGTTCGCTCGGTCATGTCCAACTCTTTGCGACCCCATGGACTGTAGCCCGCCAAGCTCCTCTGTCCATGGCATTCTCCAGGCAAGAATATTGGAGCGGGTAGTCATGCCCTCCTCCAGAGGATCTTCTTGACCTAGGGATCGAACCTGGGTCTCCTGCATTGCAGGCAGATTCTTTACCAGCTGATCCATCAGGGAAACCTCATCCCCTTTGGAGACAGCAGGTGACAGTGCCTGCCTGACCCTTTCAAGTGTCAACGTTCTCCAGCCTGGCTCCTTTCTCACTCCCTTGATTTCTGTTTTTTTTTTTTTTTAAGACTCTGCATTGTGTTGCAAAAACAAGAACCCACTGGACGGTGGCCCAGTAAAGCAGAGCAGTCAAGCGTCTCACTCACAACAGTGCCTCTTTGTGTCCTTTGATTTAACCAGGACCTCAAGAACAGGAATTTACAAAAGAGACCTAAATGCTGAGCAGAATCAGCACATGCCCACCAGATGGCCTGAATGTCTCATATTTTGATTCCCACAGCACCTGAGGCCGTCAGTCCACAAACTGTCAATAAGTATCAAATGTGATTCCCAGGTGACTCAGTAATAAATAATCTGCCTGCCAAGCAGGAGATGCAGGTTCGATTCCTGGATTGGGAAGTTCTCCCAAAGAAGGAAATGGCAACCCACTCCAGTATTCTTGCCTGGAGAATTCCGCGGACAGAGGAGCCTGGCGGGCTACAATCCACAGGGTTGCCAAAGAGTTGGACGTGACTGAGCAGCTAACAATTTCACTTCTTTTCATAAGAACATGGGTCCTTCTAGACGGCTTACACCATAAGGACTTCATTTTAACTTAATAACCTCTGTCAAGGCCCTGTCTCCCAATAAAGTCACATTCTGAGATACTGGGGGTTAGGACCTTAACACAAGTTTTGAGGGGGCCTGATTCAACTCATAACAAAGGCCTGTCCTGGCACTTTGACTCTCTCCCTGGCACTCTCCAGTCCCCATCCCTTCTTTAGCTTGTTTTTTCTTTAGGAACCTCGTATCATCTGATGTACTACTATACATTTTCCTTTCATCTTATTTCTCACACCACCTTGTGAGAGAGAAGGCATATGAACTCCCATTTTCTGAGGTGCAGAAACAGCAGCTAAGATGGCGGTGGAAACTTTTGCTGGTTCTCCCAACTCTTCAATGCCTGAGTCTGATTTGAACCGGCAGTCTAGCCTCACAGGCTAGGCTGGTCCTTTTCCTCCCCCTCGAGGCAGCCCACGCAAGATGGGTGGAGACCATGCGGGGTGGTTCCCCAAAGAGTCGCGGGGGGGACCTGCTCTAGGAACTGAGACAGTGATGGGGGGTTCAGTGCAGGATGGGTCACCCAGGAGGATCTGGAAGTGGACGAGCCTTACTCGGGGGGGGTAAGTGCGGAAGGGGTCCCGGGCACAATGTGTTGGGGTGGGGAGGAGAAGAGTCCAGCCAGACTTGAGTGCTGGCTCCAGTCAGGGGTCCTGGGCAAGAAGGCAGAGTGAGGCCAGGTGGCAGCAGCCAGGAATATAATGACAGCTGAAAGGACGAGGTTCTTTGGACGAGGTTCTGTGGACCCTCCTTACCCCCGGGGAGGCAGCAGCTGGCTCTGTGCTGGAAGCAGACCCTGCTGTGTTGATTCCAGGACTTTATTCGTCTGTTTGTTGCAGGCCTTCATGTCTGCTAGGGCTGTGGAGTCAGCAGGGGCACCAGGCCGGGAAGGGTGAGGCGTCCCTTCCGCTCTTGGCCCACTGCCGTTCCCTCCCAGCTGAGGCCCAGCCCAGGTCAACGGGACACAAAGGACCCTGAACAGTTCTTATTTCCCACATCAGCCTAGTCACTTCCTGAAACAAAACAAAACCAATTACCTCTAGCAATCGCAGATCTGCACCAGTTTTCTTAACAGCTAGGGGCTGAAAGTGATCTTAGAGATCTTCTCCCAGATCGCTCATCTGATGACTGAATTGCTGGCCGGTTTTAGGTCTGTTGGGACTTCTCTGGTAGGGAAGAGCTCATCTCTGATAGCAAAGGCAATTCTGCCCACCTGCGCAAATCCTGGTAGAGCCCCCGCCCCACCTCCTCCAAGCCTAGAGAGCTCTGCATTCTCAGTGTGGCTTCAAGATTCCACACCTTTGAAAGGAGCGAGTTTCACATTACTTATTTAGCAAATGTCTGGTGCATATTATTTTCAACTGGCATTCTTACGAGTAAGAATCAATGAATCTCCCCATGTAGGATAGCAGTTTAAAGGGGGTTACCAAATTATTTATCTTCCCAATCTCTTTGACCCCTGGACGGATAAGGAAGAGGCCAGAATGTGAAGAACTTGTATGCTATTGAGGTTTACTTCTATAGTTTGGGAGGTGCTGCTGAGGGATTTTGAGCTGGGATCTGTATTTTAGCAAAAAAAAAAAAAAGAGAGAGAGAGAGAGAGAAAAGAAAAAAAAAAGAAAAACCAATTTTGAAAGGGAATATTTAAATGAAAGGGAGGAAGCCTAAATAGAAGGTCACTGTAATGGCTGAAGTGATGGATAGTGAGGGCCTGACCTCATGCGGGAACGTGGGGACGAGCAGCTGGTGGAGAACGAGATGAGCAAGGGGTGTTGGATGTAAGCAATCAAGATAGCTCCCGTAGTTTGAACTTGGCCATCTGTCACCATACAGGGTTCTCCAGGAGAAATAGACTTACCAGATACGAGACTCCACAGAGCCACGCCTGCTGTAGAACCTGGGAAAGGTTCTGCCATTGCCTTAATTCTCCTCTGTGTCCTAGAGACTGTATTAGTCAGTGGTGGTGAAATGCTGCCCAGGTAATACTGGGTCGCCCACCCCCACCGCCCCCTTTCAGTCTCAGTAGCTTCGAATGAGGGTGTTTTCTCTCTCCTTCAAGTGACACATCCTCCACAAGCTGGAGGGTCCAGTGGGTGGAGACATCTCTACCTGGGCACCGCGGGTCTCACAGCAGAAGAGACATGACGGCCACAGGCTACCTCAAAGCTTCAGTCTCCAAGCCACACAGGTCACTCCTTGCCTTTTTCAGTGATGAGAAGTGGATGTTTGGCTAGTACTCAATTCAACATAATCCTCCTGCAGGGAAGGATCAGCACATGCCAGAGGCCAAGCTGGACACCAATGGGCAGGATGTATAATCCTCTTGGAGGAAGGGCTAGAGAAGAGTTGGTATGACAGTCTAATGTCTTTCTGGCCTGGGGTGCATCATTACCACCCCTCTGCTTCAGCATCCCACCCCGGCTCTTGTGCTGCCGCTGGTCCAGGCCTCGGGCATCCCCACAAGGGCCTGGAGCTTCCCTCCATGTCTGGGCTGGTTAGGGAGAGTACCCCATTCCACTTGAGTGGGGTGAGGTGCTAGCGGGGGTTGTCGGACTCTGCACATCCTAGAAAAGGATGTGATTTCCCACACAGCATGTTTAGGTTCTGCAATAACTGCATAAGTGATTTTGGCGTCCACGGGCCACCTGAGAATCTCTTCACCTACCTGTAGCACACTCTGTGGGTAAATGATCCCTGAGTTTCAATCTGAGCATAACACGGTGCCAGAACACTGGCTATAGAGTCCCCAAACATCACAAAGCAAAACGCTCTGAGGCGTGAATAGTGTATCTTTAACATAATCTTATATTTGGAAAAGCAGTTTTTTAAAAAAACACTTGAAAATACAAAGTAACAGTAACTTATATAAGTTTTCACCTTATATTGCTTGGCCATTTTTACATATAAATTATTGCTTACTAGCTTTGATAAATACACAGCACAGTCATATGTACAGAAGCAGAAAGCATGAGATATGAGAAAGAAAATACTGTTAATGGCAATTCTGGTAATTCCACAAGTGTTTCATATTTACCAGCTCTTCTAATGGTGGAAAACTACAAAGCGTAGTCCCTGAGAAGTTAGGTAGGCGCCCTGATTGCAGGTTTTCTATCTTCTAACTGTTAACGCAAGCTGACAAGGTCAAAACAGTCAAGAGTCCTTGCTTCCGGTTGACTTCATCCCAGTCTTTAATAACAGTGTAATACGAATACAATAAATAGGCTATGCAAATAAATAGTACTCTGCTAAAAAATGTTTAGTATATACAGCTTTGCTTTATATAGTACATTTTCATTTAACTTTTTGGCAATTTTAAAAAACGTTTTTCCAGCACTGGTTCTAAATACAATGACTCACTGGTTAATAAGCAGGCTGAAATTTTAAGGACACGTCTTTGAAGCATTTAAAAGAAATTCCGCATTAGACCGCATTTAAAAGAAACTCCACGTGAGACCACCACAGTGGATCTGATCTGCCCCTAGTTTCTGAGAAGTTCGGATTCCCTGTGCCATCCAGGGACATTTGGGATCTGTGGTGAGTGATGACTACGGCAAAACCACAGGGCGAGGGTCAGGGCAGCCGTCAGGGCCAAGCTCCAGGGACTGAAAGCCACCAATACCTTCTCTTTCACACTACTGCTTCTCCCT